GTGATCAAGTAATAACAGTGATAATGTATCAAACAACATAATAATATTGATACATCAAATCATCATCATCATCATAATATCAATCTCATCAAAGCATACTAATATTAGCAAGATCCTAGGCATGGTGCTAACAAGATTAATAACAAATCCTAACATATCACTAAACAATAAAGATCAAAGCTTTATTCTCAACATACATGATACTAGAAACATACATGATATTAGAAAATAGGAAGCAACCTAATCATGATACTAGAAAGCAATAAATAAATAGCATCCTAACATAGTATTAGGAATTAAAATAATCAAAGCATGCTTTCTAAAGAAATAGAGCAATGAAATCACTCACTTTTTTGCCTCTTATCTCTTTCTATCAAAACAACACACACAATAGTAACTTCACTAAAAATATTAAATCAAAAATTTAATTTAAATAAATAAAATAGGGATTTGGGACCAAACCCTCAGAAATTATCAACCTTTCACATCTAGAGCGAAGACAACTTCGAACTTTGCTAGGTGTGTCTTAGTCTCGTGAAGGACGTATGGTGTTTTGAAAAGGCTAGGCTTTGAAATCAAGAGAAAGAGAATAAGCTTTAGCTTAGAGAAAGAAGAGAGAATAAATAATTGTTGATGATTGTTGGTTTTTGATGATTGAAAAAGGGGTGATATGACCTCTATTTATAATGAAAAGAGAGGGTCGAAGGAATAGAAAAGAATCGAAATTCGCATAGGAATAAAACTCCTTCAATGGACAACAGTTTTTACGTTTTTTGTTTTTATCATAGCTTTTGATCTAGAAATCATAATAAGATAAATAATATGTCTTGGAAAGATATTGAAGTCTACTTTTCAACCCAATTAAAATCATATTAAAATATTTTGCAAAATAAAATATATGGACAAAAAAGGGAGACGGTGGCAGTTTTGGATAGAGTTTCGTATTTCTTTTATATCTTTTTCGTTATAGCTCGGAATTAATATTATAATATATCATTAGAAAGATAATTTCAAGATCTATCCAACCATTTAATATTTGGATAAAAATTATGAGGCACGAATATAACATCTGATCATCTTTGAACGTCTTTCAATTTGAATAGAATTAGGACTTTCAAAAAAAGAAGTTTTATTCAATTTCAAATTCTTCAATCTTATCTTTTCAAAAAAGATAATTAAGATCTTTTAGAAACATATAGAAGCTTCCAAATAAATCCTATTTTTTTAGGAATATAATTAAGATTTATGGACCCTCCACATGATCATTGGGTCGTACATAATACTAGGAATTGAGCTTATAATATATTGTTGAAAAGCTCTTTTCAAACCCCATCCAACTATACAATCATTGAACCCATATTATGAACCAAAATAAACTGGTTTGGAAGTTTTTTATAAAAAGGACATGAAATGAATGATTTTAAGGGACTCGAAATGAATTATTTTGGGCTTAAAGGCACGAAAAGAATGATTTTGGCTTAAAACATTTGAAGAAAGGTTAGAAAAATGAAAATTCACGAGACTCTTCAACATTTCACCTTGCTCGATATTCAATGACGTGAAAGATTCTCATCGCTGGGTTTGGTTTTTGGGGAGATACAATTTGGTGTCTACGAAAAGTAAAAAAAAAAAAAAAAAAAAAAAAAAAAAAAAAAAAAAAAAAAAAAAACCAAAAAATTAATACCACGATCAAACATGAAACAAATTATGTTTATATGTGAAACTATAATTTAGGAGAGAAACTTATTTAGTTGAATCTTGTATAGACACTTATACATTGAAATTAAAAGTGTAGATTAAAAAAATTATTAATAAATGATGACATCACACATATAATTGGAGGGAAAATTGTTAATGTGAGAATGACATGTAGGATTGTTTAAAGGTTGATGATATCATTGTCAACAATGTTTTTTAATAGTTAATAAATAACATTTTGAAAAAATAAAAATTGATTTTTAGCCATTAAAAAATATATTACTTTTATAAAACTTATCTCTTTGACTTATGTATTAATATTCTATTAAGTTAAAAGTTACCCATAAAAGGCAAAAAGTTACCGCACTACCATCCAGTACATAATATTATTATAAACTAGCAAAGTGCCCATGCGATACACAGTTTATAAATCAAATTATTAATTATTAATCCCGTAGAAAAAAAAACAAAGATAATTCGATTAGTAATAAAGGGCTCATTTACTAATGGTTGATACAATAATAAAGGAATGTAATTTGAATAGTATTTTCAGTTATTAGTATTTTTTTTATAATTTCATTTTATTAATTGAAAAATAAATAAATATTGCTCCACATAATTATATAATAAAAGTAGATTCATTCATTTTCCATCTCCCGTAGAAAAAAAAATTAAAATTTTCATGTCGTTCCTTCTGCTTCAATAGCTACAATCTAATACGAAGTATATATTTTACCCATTGTATTCACCAAAATATTTAATTATTATTATTGTAACACCCCAATAATTCTCTCTTTAAACCTGTGAGGACCCTGAACAATATTCAAGAGAATTACTGGCGTGCTACCACCACGTGTTCAAACGTTAAGGCTTTATCAGAAAATAGCAGCGGAAAAACTAAATCAGTTATAAATAAGTTTCAAAACCAACGAATGAAACCAAATTAAGTCATACAACTTGGAACCATTAAGGCCCTTATTCAAAACCCAATAAAAGTAGTAAGTGATTAAATTCAGTGTTCAAATAAATTCAAACCCAAAAGAAATAGTGTCGAATAAAATCGAATGAAAATAAATTCAAACTTGCAAAAGAAATAAAATGCAAACAACCAACTCTCTACTCAAGATCCCACAACCCTGATGAATGCTGCATGTGTAAGAACCTATGGTAATTCTGCCCCCAATATTACAAGTGTAAAAATTGGCTCGTCACAAGGTCATTGAAAGGCGAAGGCCATGACCAAAGAAAGACACACAAAGCACGCAATCAGCAAAGCTGAGTACATACAAGCTGCAAAATAAATTAAGAAATCCATAACATGCTACTAATAATCAATCATCATGCATCATTAAATTATAGACTCAACTCACGACTCAACTATTTATATTACTAAGACTCCATTAATTAATAATAGGTAAATCATTATTTTTATTCATTGGATTACGCAATAGACAAGGTTGTCCAACCCATGCTCCATTTGGAACATCAATAAAAGAAAAACCCCATGCCTCCTTTTGGAAACATCAATAAACATCCAACGACCACGGGCGCGACTCCGTGACCGTAGTTAGTATGAGATCTCACCTAACTCCTAGTTTTGAAAAATATTTGAAATAAGAGACTCGTAGATCAGACGGCCTCGAGAAAATTACACTGCTAATACCCCATGTACCCCAACCCCTGATTCTCATTACTCCAGAAGTCACCAATCCAGAGTTTTATTGCTCATCCATCTTGCACTTTACGTGATTTACAGGTTTAGACTTGGTGATGACTCATATGCATAACAATACAATCAATCCAATATCAATTTAATCAAGTAAAAAAACTTTTCAATTTCAATTCTTGATTTATTAGTGGCAAGCAACATTTATTATTTATTTTTTTACTACCTTTGTGTATAAACACCTTGAGTGCATAAGGCACCCCAAAACCTTAACCTCGTCTTAGAAGACTTAAATTCTTCCTTTACTCATCCTGCTTGCATAATCATGAATGAGTAATGTTGGACTTAATGATTTTGATGATGACACAACCTCACTTACTTACAAACTAATAAGTGCTTGATTGTTTAAGTGTGTACTCAGTTACAAAGACTAGGAGATTGAAGTGTCTTGTAAAAATACCATGAGGAACAAGAAGGCCAGAAGCAGAGCTAGCCATATAGAAGAGTTCCCTCACAGGAACTGGCGCTTCAGAAATGAAGACTGGAGAAGAGAAGTTTCTCCCAAGGAACAGAAGCCTCGGAGTAGAAGCTTCATCAGAGAACATGAAGACTAAATATATTTTTATATTTTAGGATTTATGTAAGTATAAGATATTAAGTTGCATTCGAAATACTGTGTGGAATTGGTCTTAAAAGATAAAATTGTGTAGGCTAGTTTTTAGGAAAGTGGTTAAGTTTTTAATGTTTATATTTTTCTTAACCAAAAAGATTTTATTTTATTTCTGATTTTCGAAAATATCTTTAGAAAATAAAATCTCCCACGTTTTTCTAAAAGCTTGTGGCCTACTTCTCCATGATTTTCTTCAAGTCATGGTCTTGCACATTGAGGAGTTCATGTTTCCTTAATTTTAGGAACATGATCTTCTTCGTGGGTATTAGTAGTGGCGTAATGGTGTTGCTGCACAAAGAGGATTTTCCAAAGCGTTTGTTGATCTATAAATAGCCTTTGATTTCTGTTGGAAAAACTCACCCTTGCTCACATAAGTTTTCAAGCTTCAAAACGAGTCAAGTGTCAATTCCACACAAGTTCATTAGAGTGCTCTTAATGTTCTTATACTAGAGTTTGTTTATCTTTCGATTTGTAATTTGTGGAATGGGGAAGTTCGAGTGAACGTTTGTGTATGAGAAAGAGAAGTGAGAAAGAGAAGATAAAGAGAAGAGAGAACAGAGAAGTGAGAAGAGAGAAAGAGAAGAGAAGAGTAACAAGTTGGGTGACTTGTTCCTCAGGGTCTCAAGTTCGTAGAGGAACTTGAGTTTGAGTCGTTAGCTTGTAATAGGTTCGTTTGCCCTATTATAGTGAAGATTCTTTTCTCAAAAACCCAAGTGGTCGTGGTTTTTCTCCTTGTTAGGGCCAAGGAGTTTTCCACGTAAAATCTCTCTTGCATTCTTTAGTTCCTTTAGTTAATCTTTCAGTTCCTTTAGCTAACTTAATTTTAATTCCGCAAAAAGTTAGGCTAAATTCTCATACTACGATTCAACCCCCCCTTCTTGTAGTATTCTTTAAAACAACAATTGGTATCAGAGCCTAAATTCTAGGAAAATCAGGAAACCCTGAAGAAGAAAGGTCTTGGAGAAAATGAATACTTATGAGAAGCTCGAGGAAGGATACTCAACTCAGAGGCCTCCTATGTTCAATGGCAAGTTCTATACCTACTGGAAGAACCACATGGAGATCTTTATCAAGGCAGAGAACTACCAAGTCTGGAGGGTCATCGAGGTTGGTGATTTCGATGTCACCAAAACAAATGCTCAGAACGAGGGAATCCCTAAGCCTATGTCTGAATATGAAAAAGAGGACTTTGATAAAATGGAAATAAATGCTATGGCTGTGAATATGCTCCACTGTGGACTTGGACCTCACGAACACAATCGTGTTATGGGGTGCAAGAACGCTAAGGAAATCTGGGATTTGCTGCAGATTACTCACGAAGGAACTAATGAGGTTAAACGCTCAAAAATCGATCTACTTATGTTTAAGTATGAAAGATTTGAAATGCAGCCTAAGGAAACCATTCAAGAGATGCTAACCCGATTTACTAACATCATAAATGAGTTGGTTTCCCTTGGTAGACAGATTCCTACAGATGATCAGGTTAGGAAGGTTCTTAGAAGTCTTCCACAAGATGAGAGATGGAGAGCTAAGGTGACAGCCCTTCAGGAAATGAAGGACTTTACAAAGTTCAATATTGAACAACTAGCAGGTTCTCTCATGACTCATGAGCTACACCTTGGAGTCAACAATGAACCCATGAGGAACAAGGGATTGACTCTTAAAGCTGATGAGGAGGAAGACTCAGAAGTGGACGATGATGAGGCTGCCCTAATTGTGCGAAGATTCAAAAAGATGTTCAAGAAAGGTCGAACCTCAAGGAACTTCGGGAAAAAGACCTCAAATCGAAAGCCTGACTACAACTGCCACAAGTATGGATCTCCATATCACTTTATGAGAGACTGTCCCCTTTGGGAAAATGATAAAGGGAAAGGAAAGGCTAAGGAACAGGGAAGAGAAAAATTCAGCAAAGCAAACTATCAAAAGTCAGACATGAGGAAGGCCATGATAGCAGCCTGGGGAGACTCAGCAAGTGAAGAAGAAGATGATGACCAACCAGAAGAGGAGACAACCAATCTTTGTTTAATGGCCAAATCAGATGATGAAAAGGCTTACCTTGAGGAACTCCAGAAAGAGGTATTTCTTGATCCTAAACAGCTTAAAACTCTCTCTAAAGATGTCTTGATAGATATATGTCTAGAAGAAGAAGAATTCTTTAGAGATACATGTGTAAAGTTGAATAAATGTGAAAAAGCTCTTAAGGTTTGCAAAGAACATGGTGCTTGGTTGGAAACAGCCTATGCCAAGTCTCAAAGCAAATAAGAGAACTTGATTTTAAATACAAACACATAACTGAGATAGCTGATAGAATTAAGAATGAAAGTATTCTTCTGAATGTTGAACTAACTCAGTATAAGCTCATGAATTCTGATATCAGTTCTAGCAGTTCCTCAAGCGATCAATTGCTTAAATTCAATGTTGATTTTGAAAATTTAAAAAATGAGCTTTCTACTTTAAAAACCCAAAAGGATCAACTTGGATCGGAACTGAATGCTAGAAAGGATAGAAGTATTGATCCAAAAGTCATACCTAAGTGGATAGCTGATGCTCAAGGAAAAAGAACTGAAGGCCTTGGTTACATGACCAAGAAAGGTAAGCAAAAGAAATATGTTGAGCTTCCTACCATGAAGGTATGCACTTTTTGTGGTAAGACTGGACATCTCTATGGACAGTGTAGGATAAGAGAAGAAGCTGATAAAAGAAATGTAAAACAAGTGTGGGTCAAGAAAACTGATATTGCATCCACGTCTAAGGAACCCAAGGAAACCTGGGTTCCTGATCCTAATGCTTAGTTTTCTTGCAGGTCCTAGTGAGGGGGAACAACTCGTGGTATCTCGACAGCGGTTGTTCAAAGCATATGACAAGTGATAAATCAAAATTCCTCTCACTAGAAGACTACCCTGGAGGAACAGTAACCTTTGGGGATAATAAGAAGGGCGAGATCATTGGAAAAGGCAAAATTGGAAGATCTAAATCTCATTCCATTGATAATGTGTTCCTGGTCGAGGGCTTAATGCACAATTTGCTCAGTATATCACAATTCTGTGATAAAGGAAACTCTGTAAGTTTTACTTCTGATTCTTGCAACATCATCAACAACAAGTGAATAAAGGTTGTTCTAGAAGGAACAAGAAGAGGGAACACTTATACAGTTGACCTCAACTTAATCCCAAGGAACAACCTTAAATGTCTGAGTGTTATTGAAGATGATCCCCTGCTATGGCATAAACGTTTTGGACATGCTAGCTTTTCATTACTGGACAAGCTGAGGTCAAGGAACTTGGTTGTAGGACTTCCTATTATCAAGTTCCTACAGAACAAAGTTTGTGATGCATGTGTGAAAGGCAAGCATGTTTGCTCATCTTTTAAATTGAAGAAAATGGTAAGCACTACAAAGCCTTTGGAATTAATCCATATGGATTTGTGTGGTCCCATGAGAATTCAAAGCAAGAGTGGTAAGAAATATGTTTTGGTTATTGTTGACGATTATTCCAGATTCACTTGGGTTATTTTTCTTGCTAATAAAGATGAAACTTTTAACGAGTTTGTTGCCTTTGCCAAGAAAATACAGAAAATCAGTGGTCACTCCATAGTCCATCTCTAATCAGATCACAGAACTGAATTTGAGAACTCAAGATTCGATGAGTTTTGCAGGGAAAATGGCATGAATCATAACTTCTCAGCTCCAAGGACTCCCCAACAGAATGGAGTTGTAGAAAGGAAGAATCGAACCCTTGAGGAAATGGCTAGAACGATGCTGATTGCAAGTGGATTGCCAAGGAACTTCTGGGCTGAAGCCGTGAATACAGCATGTTACATCCTTAACAGGGTAACAATCAGAAGTATCATCAACAAGACTCCCTATGAACTATTCAGGGGAAGAAAGCCAAACATATCTCATCTTAGAGCCTTTGGTTGTAAGTGCTTTGTACATAATAATGGTAAGAAAAACCTAGGGAAATTTGATGAAAGAAGTGAGGAGGCTATATTTCTAGGATATGCCTCTGATAACAAAGCTTATAAAGTCTACAATAAAAGCTCAATGTGTGTTGAGGAAAGCATTCATATAATCTTAAATGAAGTTAACCAATTTGTGAGTGTACAGGAACAAGAAGAAGATAATGATTTTGAAATTGGATTGATAAGAGACAGGGATGAAGAAGAGACTCAGAATCAAACCAAGGAAAAGCAGCCTACTCTAGAAGAGGATCATCAAGAAAATGGAGAGGTTCCTCAACCCGATGAACAGGTAAATGAGGAACAAGCAGAAGAAGCAGAAGGAACAGAACCAGAAGCTCCTCAAATTGGAGTTCCAGCAAGGGAATTTCAACCCAGGCCATTCAAGTATCAAGGTTTCCATCCAACTGATCTCACTATCAGTGATATAGGAAAAGGAACGCAAACAAGATCACAAATGAGGAACTACTGTGCATTTCATGCTTTTCTGTCCATCCTAGAGCCAAGAAATCATCAAGAAGCCTTGGGAGATGCTGATTGGATAGTGGCCATGCAAGAGGAACTCAATGAGTTCAAAAGGAACAAAGTCTGGCACCTTGAGCCAAAGCCTAAGGGAAAGAAAGTTATTGGGCTCAAATGGGTGTTCAGGAACAAGCTTGATGAACATGGCACCATTGTAAGGAACAAGGCTAGATTGGTTGTGAAAGGCTACAACCAACAGGAAGGTATTGATTTCGATGAAACCTTTGCTCCTGTAGCTAGATTAGAAGCTATTAGAATCCTAGTAGCTTTTGCTTCTTTTATGGGTTTCAAACTCTATCAAATGGATGTGAAATGTGCTTTTATAAATGGTTTCTTAAATGAGGAGGTGTTTGTTGAACAACCTCCAGGTTTCGAAAATCCTAAATTTCCAAATCATGTTTTTAAGCTTGATAAAGCTCTCTACGGGCTCAAACAAGCTCCAAGAGCCTGGTATGAAAGGCTTTCAAAGTTCCTACTGAAAAATGATTTCAAAAGAGGAAAAGTAGACAAAACTCTTTTTCTTAAATCTTGAGGAACTGACTTGTTAGTTGTACAGATCTATGTAGATGATATTATATTTGGTGCTACTAACAATGGTTTGTGCAAGTACTTTGTTGAGCTAATGGGTGGTGAATTTGAGATGAGCATGATGGGTGAATTAAATTTCTTCCTTGGACTTCAAATAAAGCAAACAGCTGAAGGAATAATGATTCACCAATAGAAGTATGTCAAGGAACTTCTGAAGAAGTACAACATGGAGAATGCCAAGACAAATCATACACCTATGAGAACAACAACAAGACTTGATGAGGATCCACAAGGAACAAGTGTGGATCAAACCACTTACAGAGGTATGATTGGTTCATTGCTATATCTTACAGCCAGTAGGCCTGACATTTCTTTTAGTGTTGGATTGTGTGCTAGATTTCAGTCTAATCCTAAAGAATCACATCTAACGGTTGTTAAGAGAATTTTGAGATACCTCAAAGGAACAGATGACCTGTGTCTGTTCTATCCTAGAAGTGATGACTTTATGCTTAGAGGATTCACAGATGCTGACTATGCAGGTGACCTAGTCAATAGGAAAAGCACCTCAGGTATGGTTCAGTTCCTTGGCTCTTGTCTAGTTTCTTGGGGTTTCAAGAACCAAAATGATGTTGCATTGTCTACTGCAGAGGCTGAGTATGTAGCAGCAGCTGCATGTTGCTCTCAAGTCCTCTGGATTAAACAACAGTTGCGAGACTTTGGTATTAAATTTAATTGCATTACTATCTACTGTGATAACACTAGTGCAATTTTCATATCTAAATATCCAGTCCATCATTCAAGAGTTAAGCATATTCATATAAGGCATCATTTCCTTAAGGATAATGTTGAAAAGGGTTTGATTAAATTAGATTTCTGCCAAACTGACAATCAAATTGCAGATATTTTAACTAAACCCTTGAATAGAGAAAGGCATGAGAAGATGAGAATGGAACTTGGGATGATTAAGTTATACTGAGAAAAATGCATCAAGTTCCCCCAGGTATGAAACCCAAACTGACATGCTTAAACTATTGTATACTGTGCACAAGTGTTATATGTTTAATTACATAATTAAGACAGGTTGTGAGCAGGAGTAATATTTACTAAGGGCATAGAATATGGAAAGTCCGAAATTGGTTGCATGAGCCTTGTTGATTTGTTCCGTGTATCAAGTTGTATTTGCAAGTGATCTTTACTGATAATATTCAAAAGATAAAATTTTTGTGTTTATCTATCTTTCAAAATTCCAAATTCTTTTTATCTAAACACAAATAAATCGGATGAATGCATCTAATTTCATCATTATCTTTTGTTCAAAAAGTAGCCCACTTACACTACTCTCTTGAAACACGGTTTGCGTTTCCCTAAGCAATAAATATGAGTGTCAAATCAACTAAATTCACTTTACCTCCCAAACGACACCTCACTTATTCACTTCACCAAGTTACCTCCACCATAAAAGCAATGTCAGCCTCCTCAAAATTCACTCCACACAAAAATTACCTTCTCTCTCATCACTCCGATTAAAATTACTCTCCAATGTCTGTCTCACCAAAAACCCAAGTTGAAGCCGAAACAAACACAAACCCTACCCAAGACATCACCATGGAAATCATCCCGGAAACACAAAATCCTGAAGCCTCCAAGCATGAATCTCCAACTGATTCTAGCGCTTCTCGCAAAAGGAAAGCTGAAGACATTCAAGAAGAAATCGAGAACATTCCGGAGATGGGTGTCAACTAACAAGACAAGCCTGCTTTCGTGAAGAGGCTAGAAAAGATCAGTGATCACTTTGTGATAGGTTTGGCACTTAATTTACCTTGGTGTAGATCTGTTAAGCTTTATGAATTGCTAGATTTGTTTGAGGCTCAAAATTGGGTGAATTTGTTGGGTGAATGTTTCAATCGGAGTTTGTATGTTGATGCTATGAAGGATTTCTGTAAAAGCTTTAAGTATTCTAAAGGTGTAATTCGTTGTTGTGTGCTTAAGAAGGATATTGAGTTTGATGCTATGTATTTGGCTGAGTTGTTCGATTTGCCCAATACTGGTTACGATATTTATTTCAAAAATAATGTGATAAGGAACCATCTTCCTGATGCCAATATTGATGAAATAGTGGAGTATTTAGGTGGTGACCCTGAGGAAACTTACATAAACCACAATGACCTAACCCCTCTTGATAAAATCCTGTTAAAATTTGTGTTCAATGACATAATCCCTCGTTCTCAAAAGAGAGACAGTGAAAACAAGCTTGATTCTATCCTAATCTATTGCCTAGCCAAAAAGATCCAAATTAACTTTCCCTCCATCATGATCCAACACCTTTCCCACTGTGTTCCTAAGGGATGGAAGGTGGGATATGGCAACTTACTCACCTATGTATTTGAAAGCTTTGGTATCTCCTTGACTAATGTAGAACCCTGCCTCTCAAAAACACTGAGTACATACAACCTATATTCCTTGAAAATCATAAGTTGAGGATTGTAGATGGGTGTTTTGAAGCAGTACAGGAGGAAAAAGAGACTAGACCTAAGGAAGTGAGTGCACCATCTGAGGGGGAAGATGAAAGGGTTGTTGATATGGTTGAGGGAGTTGTTCAGGAAATTCAGGAGCAAGAGGAGGAAGAGGAAAAGCGGGTGGAAGAGGTCATTGAGACAGGGGGAAGGAAGAAAAGGAAGAGCTTGAGGCTGATGAAGAAAAGGGAAACCTCTGCACCCATTTGCATCATCCTGCTTGCATAATCATGAATGAGTAATGTTGGACTTAATGATTTTGATGATGACACAACCTCACTTACTTACAAACTAATAAGTGCTTGATTGTTTAAGTGTGTACTCAGTTACAAAGACTAGGAGAATGAAGTGTCTTGTAAAAATACCATGAGGAACAAGAAGGCTAGAAGCAGAGCTAGCCATATAGAAGAGTTCCCTCACAGGAACTGGCGCTTCAGAAATGAAGACTGGAGAAGAGAAGTTCCTCCCAAGGAACAGAAGCCTCGGAGTAGACGCTTCATCAGAGAACATGAAGACTAAATATATTTTTATATTTTAGGATTTATGTAAGTATAAGATATTAAGTTGCATTCGAAATACTGTGTGGAATTGGTCTTAAAAGATAAAATTGCGTAGGCTAGTTTTTAGGAAAGTGGTTAAGTTTTTAATGTTTATCTTTTTCTTAACCAAAAAGATTTTATTTTATTTCTGATTTTCAAAAATATCTTTAGAAAATAAAATCTCCCACTTTTTTCTAAAAGCTTGCGGCCTACTCCTCCATGATTTTCTTTAAGTCATGGTCTTGCACATTGAGGAGTTCATGTTTCCTTAATTTTAGGAACATGATCTTCTTAGTGGGTATGAGTAGTGGCGTAATGGTGTTGCTTCACAAAGAGGATTTTCCAAAGCTTTTGTTGATCTATAAATAGCCTTTAATTTCTGTTGGAAAAACTCACCCTTGCTCACATAAGTTTTCAAGCTTCAAAACGAGTCAAGTGTCAATTCCACACAAGTTCATTAGAGTGCTCTTAATATTCTTATACTAGAGTTTGTTTATCTTTTGAGTTGTAATTTGGGGAATGGGGAAGTTCGAGTGAACGTTTGTGTACGAGAAAGAGAAGTGAGAAAGAGAAGAGAAAGAGAAAGAGAAGAGAGAACAGAGAAGTGACAAGAGAGAAAGAGAAGAGAAGAGTAACAAGTTGGGTGACTTGTTCCTCAGGGTCTCAAGTTTGTAGAGGAACGTGAATTTGAGTCGTTAGCTTGTAATAGGTTCGTTTGCCCTATTATAGTGAAGATTCTTTTCTCAAAATCCCAAGTGGTCGTGGTTTTTCTCCTTGTTAGGGCCAAGGAGTTTTCCACGTAAAATCTCTCTTGCATTCTTTAGTTCCTTTAGTTAATCTTTCAGTTCCTTTAGCTAACTTAATTTTAATTCCGCAAAAAGTTAGGCTAAATTCTCATACTACAATTCAACCCCCCCCCCCCCTTCTTGTAGTATTCTTTAAAACAACAAGTAATAAATTAATCATTACACCAATCATATACCTTTGCCTCTAAGCGCGCCTTGCATAATTAGAGCACAAATAATACTTGTAATATAAAATAGTGCACGTCATACGAAATTCACAATGTATAACCAAACAATTTAACTCAGTCATCCCTATACATGATACTAAGTTCTCGATCCGTCGTCCTTAAACATGCACCTAAAAGAAAGGTTTCGTAATTTGTACGTACCTTGAGCAAACGAATTGGTATGCCACTTTACTAACTAGAAATCACCTTCAATAAACTCCTCTCCTAATCCAAATAATAACATCTCAATCAATACCCAATCAATCAAATTTACAACAATACTAACTTACTTTAAAACCTTCAAAATCCAAATCAAACAACACTTTAAAACCTTCACTTTAGTTAAAATTAAAGGCTTTTATATAGTTCTTTAAATTTTCTTCATAAAAACCTTAAAATACACTCTTATACATGAAATTACATCAAGTTCAAAGTCTAATAAAAATCTGAAAATTATATAAAAACCCCTAAAAATCTCCATTTTTAATGGGTGATTAAACCCTCTTTATAAAATATCAAAAGTAGTACTTAGAAACTATTTCCAACAATTAAAACTTCAATAAAAACATATATTTATGCTTAATTAACTTTAAACATAATTAATTTTATTAATCAAACTCAAGGATAATATTTTAAGAATAAAAAAACTTCGTTAAAATCAAAAACTGCCCGAAAATCATATTTAGAGGCTGAATTTGGCCACGAAAGGGTGGTTCTCACTACTAAAAGTAGTGAGTCTTTCTTAAAACGTTGTTTTCCACATGGAAAATACTACTTTTTCATCAAAATCGGATGAGTTCAAAATCTGATCGGGATTAAAACGGGATTAATATTAACGAACGAAAATCTAAAAATTAAAACACGAATTTACATGTTCAAAATAATCTGCAATTAAGTTAAACTAATCATTAGTTATAATCACCAAAATTTCAAAACATCA